AAATGCAAAAAGGAGCAAAAAATCCTCCCACACCCCTCACAGCAACTCAACCTAAGCTTCCCGACGTCTGCAAGAGGATGCTGGGTTTACACTGAGAAGCCTTTAAATATACCCGTGTATTGAAAATAATGCACAAAAGCAATGGCCCTATTGTCCTGGAAAGGCAAATATTCTTCCCATTTGGGGTAAGTCAGAAGTACGGATCAGGGCAGTGCAGAAGTAGCCCAACGCTAAACCAAACACGACGATAAGGGCTGTTGAACACAGCCAGGACATCAGCTGAATGCAACCACCCGTGCAGCCCCTTCAAGCCATGCCTCCTCCAGCCCTCTGCGAGAGCGGGCTGGAGGCACCTTCACCTCTCACCAAGGACAGTCGCTCCAGAGGGCTCTTCCCCCCCGCCAGCTCCAGCAGGTGCCGTTGGCGCTGCCCTGACGCCAAGCGAGAGCAGAGCCCGGACGCAGCAGGGGGGGAAGATGCCCCAGGTATCCTCCCTTCATCCCGCAGCTTTATTGAGGAAGACCAAGCTTGGGTTTTGAACGCCACGGGGCAGAGGGTCGATAACAAGGTGGCTCTGGAGTGCCCGGCGCGAGATGCCTTGTGTGGGTGCTTCATCGTAAGAAATAAGTGAATGCCCCAAACCAGAAAGTTAGCAGATATGGCAAATATAACCATAATAACCATAAGTGGCTGTTTGAGACAGCAGGCAACAGCCCTCGGACCAACCACGAAGTTGACCTGAATTCTGGGAGATGATGGCTGGTGAGGTCCCACGGCTGGGATGGCCTCAGAGAGCAGCAGCAGCTCGGTCTATCATGGACAAGCAGAAAGGGCTGAAGAGCAGTATTGAAAATAACCACCAAGGAGCTGAAGACAGAACAAAGCCACCATCATCCCCACCGAGCTGGTGCCAGCCACGGCTGGAGCCATGTGCAAGGAATTACACCTCGGTCTCAAAGCACTTGGTGTCACTTTCCACCTGTCTATAAACGCATGAATTAGGGTGTTGGTGAACACCAGAAGCACTGTCTGACAGCTTTTCCTCCCTCGCTTTAAGGTCCTTATTTAAACATGGGGGGGAAGGAATAATCGGATCACAAAGAAGAACAGCTCTTTGTACGTTTGGCACAGCAGCTATGACCCTCCCCTGCCAGAGCTATTCAATCCCCGGCACCGATAGCATCTCTAAAACCAGACACCGATTCCCAGCAGAGCTGTGGAAGAGACAACAAAATCTCCATTCTCTCCCTGCGAATCCGACCTCTGGATCAAGCCCAGCTACAGCAGAGCAGCCCCGGAGCTGGTCCCAAGCCCCTGCCCCACCTCAGGGACAGCCCCTCGCCCTGCCCCAACAGCCTCCCGCCAGGGGTACTGCCAGAAAATTAAGTTTAAGGCCTAAATGTCCCCGCACATCCCGAGCAGGGATGCACGGGCGTTCCCCCCCAGGAAGCGAGGGCTCTGCACCCCACCATGCCACGCTGCTGGCAGCATCCCATCCTGGGAAGGGGAGGGAAGACAACAGACACTTATGGCGAATAAGCTGATTAAGCATCTGTCACTTCATCCGAAGCTGGCCAAACACTATAAAGCTCATTTTCTGCCTGAGGCATTTTTATCCCAAGTTCCTGCTGCCTGGCCTTTGGAGAGTGCGATAGTTTAATTTTCTTCCACGGGTGCATGTGTGCAAAGCTCCGCCAGCACCGTCCCCCGGCTCAAAACAGCCATTTTCTAATTTCGGTGAGCAGGAACCCGTGCGGGACGCCAGCTCAGAGGCTAGTGTCGAGCATGCTATCCGGGGCCGGGGAGGGGGGCATCACCTAGGTGCTGGTATTTGTTGGCAAGAGAAATCCTTTTGATCCTCCAAGGAGCACACAGCAGCAGCCGCCCTGCTCCTGGCTGGAGCAGTGGGGTTGAGGACAGCTGCTCCGACGTCGGAGCACCAACCCAACCCACGATGCCCCAAAGCCACCATCCCACCGCCCCAGCAGCTCTCAGTGCTTTCGGGTCCGTCCCACAGCACCATACACAGCCCTGCAGAGAACAGAAGATGATTGCAGAGATCTGACAGGCAAGCAGGAGGCTAATGAGAAACCTCACTGCTAATTAAGGCTGCAGGTCAAGCTATGCAGCAACATAGTGCACATGGAAGCTGCTTTGGGGCAGCACAAAGCAGTTTAGTGAACACTCTCAGCTTGAAAGGAGAAAATTAACCTGTAGCAACAAGCCACATAGCGAGTTGTTTTTCCTAATTGTAGGATACAATTGCACAGGCATTAATTAACATTGACAAGGATTGCTCTGTCCTTCCCACATCACATTTAACTTCAGTCAAAAAAAAAATCCACCTGCGTTATCCCATGAAGTGGCTGGAGGCATGGGATTGCTGCCCACAGTGGGGACAGGGACACCTCCCCACTGCCAGCAGAGCCACGGCTACAGCCTCCACCACACTCGAACCCAGCCTGAGCACTCCGAGGCTGAATAACATTTATGCAGAAGAAATATTGGCAGAATTTCTGTGGGGAAAGGATTTTTAAACAGTTTGCTAGGCTAAGTGCAGTAAGTGTTTATGTATATGTATGTATACATGTATATATAAATAAAATTATTTTTGCAGCAGTATCTATGTAAACATATCTTCCTGAAGCACGAAGCTGAAGTGAATAAATCCGCAAAGCGTCATCCACAGACCAGGAGCACCGGCGACCGTCGGCGAGCGCCGGCCGTCCCCGCAGCACAGCACACCGGGCGCGGATGCAGGTGGCAGCGATGGAGAGCAGCCTCCGGGAGGGCAGCGCTGTGCCCGAAGGCTTAAAGCAGCCGAGCTGCGGGTCTTGTGGGGACGGACGCGGCAGCACAGATTCAAGCAAATCCCCTTCCAAAATTCAGCGCATCTTCCCCAAACTGGAGGGAAGCAAAGCATGACTCAGCACCGGCGGCTGCCGGCACCGCTCGAGGCAGGATCCTGCTCCCCACCAACCCACCACAGCCATTTTAAAACAATAAAAGAGGAAAAAGCCCGCAGAAAGGGTCCCACTGATCAGCTGAAGGGAGGGAGCAACTCTTTGCTGGCCAAATAAAATTCCTGAAACCTTAGGAGGAAGTTTGCTGAAAGTGAGTGTTTTTTAACACATTGTCTCGAGACTCCAACAAAAACAGCCCAGCAGGATGAGGGCACTGAAAAGGGCTCTTCACTACAGAGATAAAAATAGAGTTTTTCAAGCTGCCTTCTCACTCCCAGGGTGGGAAGGGAAGATGACTCCAGAACTAACACACCTTCGCATCCCCCTCCAGGTGAGAAGCTGAAAAGCCACCAGCTGCTAAGGAGAAATACTGAAAAATAAACATATTTATGGCAAAGGATATGCTCAACAAGCAATCGCCTTGCGCACCCAAGTCAGCCAGCAAGGTGCTGTGACTGCTCCTGTGATGCTGCACGTTGCATCGCTGGTGGATGCGCCCCCGCCACCCCCCCCCTTGGCCCCATGGAGCGGGGAGGGCAGAGGTGCCCGCGCAGGCTTCGGCAGGGCTTTCCTTCAGCTTGCGAGGTGAAGCCAGGTTTGCAGGACACTACAGCAAAGCCGATATTCAGCAAAATTCTGGTAATGAAAGCAAATCTCGTTCTCCCTCAAATTTTGCTCCATCAGCACCACCCACAAGTTGTTTGCCTTCCACACGCCGCCTGGGCAGAGTTTAGAAAAACACAGACAAAAAAACCTGTCAGCTAAAGGTTGAAAGGGCTTTGCTTTGTTCCACTGCACTAAATTCCCTGGGTAATACCACTCAGCTCTCTGGGATTGGCACGGCTTTATTCAGCTGCCAAAAATGAAACTAATGCAAAGCACGAGGTCTCCAGGACATAGTCCTGCTG